TAGCAGGACCATGGCAGGACGTACGTCTTAATTGCTATCTTTCTTTATTATGTGTGCTTTATATGAAAAAGAAAGAGATAGGTATAAAACGTATCGTAAGACATTATCGCACATTCTGGCTGGCGGAGAATTTTAGTATTCTTTCATTCTGAAACTGAAAATTTTCACTTAAACTGATTTATTCCCTATACCACGTAAAGGGAACTTGGTGTAGGGAATAAATCAGTTTAAGTGAACATTTGCAGTTTCTTTCAGAACGAAAGAGTACTACTATTATAAGGGAAATTATAAAAAAGCAAAAATTGTACTGTTTTATAAACATATTTATTTATACATAAAAGTCTTTTATAAAGGAAATTATAAAAAAAGCAAAAATTGTACTGTTTTATAAACATATTTATTTATACATAAAAATAAATAAATTTTTTATAATATAATAACAAAAAATAACAGTGTTTATTCTATTCCACCGACCTACCAATTTTAAATGCAGAAGAACTGACTGTTGCAGGAAACGATCGGCCAGTTTTTTTAAAATGCATTAAAAATCTAATTTTCGAAAAAACTGCCTAATTGCAATAACAAAGTGAATCTCCAAGCAAAGAAGACTTTACGAGAATCATGATCCTGACCCATTTTCAAGTCCAGTTTTAATCCTAAGACAAAAGTGAAATAGGTATAATAATAAAGTTTCTGGTTACTATAAACCAGCTATAAAACTACCCAAAAAATGAAAAAAATTAATTGTATTAATTTGTTATGTTAAGAGAGGTTCGAAATATTGTTGACACTACTACTTCTACTTTTTTCTTAATAAGATGATAAATATAACTACTTACTTTTATTTTACCGGGTGTCTTTAACATATGTATCAGAGAAAGGAGGCACCAATACATATAAAAAATAGATGATAATGGCTCCTGCAGCAAATAAAATAACAAATAGTATAACCGAAAATTATAAGTAACAAAATATAAATACCTATATGGAACAAAGGAATTTGTTCCCTATCCATATTCATAAGTCAATAAAATGGAGAATTTAGAAAAAAAAGGTAAATCACGAAAAGAAAAATTAACAAACATGACGAACATGTCATGATGTTGTCATCTTGGTTGTCATGATGACGAAAACGAAAGGCGATTGTTCTAATTTCTATTTAGAATTTACGTTTTATATGGCTGCTTCTTTCTCTCTTGTTATATTAGAATGAGATAGTGGACCCAATAGACGCAATGCGCAGATCAACATAAATAGAACGAAAAGTTGCGCTACGGCTTTTGCTACGGGAACGTTGTCCCTCTCTTTGCCATTTAATTTGCCAGTCTCTTTTTATTTGTTTGTCGTTGTACGTTTTAAAATGACGTTTGTTGTACGTTTTAAAATGACGCTGACAACAAGTTTTAAAGTTTTTCTCAAATTACCTAAAATCGGCTTGTCCAAAATTGTTCAAATTTGGCATGTGTGTTTACCAAATGTAGACCTTTAAAAAGTCTATTTACGACTTCGCTATAAAATCCATAGGGGAGCCAATATCTGGACAGTTCAAATTTTGCATGGGATTTCCTATGTTCCCAACGACGCGCGACGTTGCAACACCCGTTATAACCCCTTTCAGTTTGTCGCACTAATTGTGGGACAACCTGTAGTTTACATAAAATATTATTTCATAAAATAATTATGAAAAATTATTGTTTAATATATTATTATTAACACATATTAAAATTACACTCTAAATATTGAATAAACTGAAGTAAATGAAAAGCGTTACCCCATTTTTATTGAATATTTATAATTACAGATTTTTTTTTGGATATATTAATATGATAATATAAAATATTTATTTAATATATTATAAGATACCGTGTATCGAAAAAGACGGCGTCCAGTTGGCTTGAAAATGAACATCGATGATATTTTCCATATAAATTTACATATAAAATGACAGCGATCTTCATTTCATAGCCATCGCTGACGTTTTTTTTTCGATCGTACGGTATAATTACTGAAGTTAAACCAAAATTATATATATAAAGGAAAGAATTAATGATCTTTAATATATTATTATTAACATATAATTAAAATTACACTCTAAATATTGAATAAACTGCAAGTCAATGAAAAGGGTTGTCCCATTTTTATTGAATATTTATAACCACAATATTTTTTGAGATATATTATTATGAGAATATAACATATTTATTTTTCATTATAATTACTGAAGTTAAATCAAAGCTATAGTAAAGAATTTATGTCGATTCCAAGTTGTCATTTCATAATTTTGTTTACTATGATTCACACTTTATATATTTTTATAATATTAATGTAACACATCTTATGAAACATTGTCTTACTGTTACTTAGTTAAGTAAGCAAGTTATACCGGGTTCGTCTCAAACGTGGCTAACCCCCATAACTTTTTTATTTTTTTAGATAAAGAAACGAGAAATTAGTATTGATTGGCGTATTCAATTGTTTTTGGTCACTTCCAGTTTCACAGGAAATGACTACAACTTTTGATTTTTAAATCACACCCTCGATATTTTTTACTTTATTCGATAGCAGAAGACATTGTGAATAGAATGACATATAATATGTCAACTTTTGACATTTTTGCTTTAAAAAAATCGTATTTTAAATTTTAATCTAGAGTGCTGTGGTTGTGTTAAAAACCGTAATTTTTATTCAACGAGCCTTGGAAAAATACATTTGATCATCTAAAGTTTTTCGTGTCTTGTCCTGGTTAAAAGATACCCAAATCTGATCTTATTATATCTCTTGAGATATGATTATTTAATCGTATCTCAATTTTTTCAAATGGAACGAGGATGTAGTTTCATTAGCATATTTAATATTTCAAAATAATAAAAATAATTTGGTACCACACACAAGTATTTTGAGGAAAATTGACGTTTATGAACCTCATGTTACAATTTTATTGTTACAAAACATTTGTAAAAATTTAACTTTTCAACTTTTTAAGCTACACTTTCTCAAACAAGTCAAACATGTCCTTGATATGGCTATTAATCCTTCAATTTAAAAGTTGTTAGTTTTTAAATGCAATTACTTAATGTGTATTTTAACACTTAAATTATTGTTTTATGAATGATAAATAATTTTAGTGTTACTAAAGCGATTATAGTCTACAAAGCTGTTTTTAACGCAACCGTGCATCCTTATGAGAATTAATCAGATTACTTAAACCGTAAAAATATTTATATATACTATAAACATCGACCAAATCGATAACTCGATGAACACGCGGATATAAGGGTCAGAGGGTTTTATTTAACGCGAACAAAACGAAATGTAATAAAGTTATACAGGCGAGAATTTTATATCCTTTGATAAACGATGTGGAGGATTTTGTCGCTACGAGTGGAAGTATTAAAAAAAGGTTTCTTTTTTGTGTCTCTAAGATTAGAGTGATAAAAGGAGAAGGATAGTAATAAAATCCTAATTATACCCTGTTTTGCGACTAAGGGAAGATTTCGACAGATGATGACAGAAAAATGGCAGATTATGACGTACACACCAATCGATTTATTTTACTAAAAAAATTCTAATATTTTTTAAGTTAACTTTAGATGTTAACCAGTCTTATTGGTTTATTTCAAAAATGAAAGATCATATTTCAATACGATGGCAGATGAGTGACGAAAAATGATCAAGGACGCACCGACGCAGATGCCTATGAATTGGACTTAAGATTTTTGAAGCTTATCAAATTAAAGGTTATTATCTGCGTTTTTTAACCAGCGTTCTGTATTTCCATCTCGTATACTGGGTGCGTCTCAAAAGTGGCTCACCCCTATAGCTTTTTTATTTTTTCAGATAATATAACGAGATTTGGTATGCTAGTATATGACATAAATTGGGATTGATTGATGTATTCAATTGTTTTCGGTCACTTCCGGTTTCACCAGAAATGACTACAACTTTTGATTTTTAAATGGCACCCTCGGTATTTTTTTACTTTATTCCATAGAAAATGACATTCTGAATCGAATCTAGAGTGCCTGTGTGTGGCTGTGTTAAAACACTAATTTTTAATCAAGGAGCCTTGGAAAAATAGATTTGATCGTTTAATGTTTTTAGTGTCTTGTCCTGGACGGTTAAAAGATGCCCAAATCGTATTTTTAATCATATCTTAATTTTTTCAAATGGAACGAGGGTGGCTCATTAACATATTTGGAAAAGGCATTTTTTACGAATAATTTGATACCACACATTTGGTATTTTGAATCAAATTGAACCGCATGTTACAATTTCAAATAAACCATATGCCAAAATGTCAAAAGTTGTCAAAAATATGTCATTTGATTCAGAGTGTCATTTTCTATCGAATCAAGTAAAAAAATACCGAGGGCGCCATTTAAAAATCAAAAGTTGTAGTCATTTCCGGTGAAACCGGAAGTGACCGAAAACAATTGAATATGTCAATCAATCCCAATTTATGTCATATACTAACATACTAAATATCGTTGTTTTATCTTAAAAAATAAAAAAGTTATAGGGATGACTGTAAAATAAAGACATCACACGATAGGTAAATAATAGATTTTAATACTGTAAAGATATAAGTTCAAAAGGTACTGGTTGATGGCACTACCCGTGAGGTGGAGGCTGGAAGATCTGTCTCCAGCCTCCACCTCTTTAACTTGGTCTCCCCTCAGATACCGGTGTTGTGACGAATCTATAATAGAGGATATATCCCTCTTTCTCTATTGTCTCCTTAAATTTGAGGTCAATTACACCGCATTGGTTAGTCGGTCTACTTCTACAGAGCCCCGCATGTAGAAGTAAGGGAGACGAGAATACAATGGGTTGCCTCCTGGTGCCCCAAGGTTGAGACCATTAGAACCTAGTTTTCTATCCAGCCACGTATACCTTTGACCTGGTCCCGCCATCATAGGATTTAGGTTTTTGGTGAGGTTTTCTCCTCTTGGTCCTGGCGGTTAAGTTAAGACCCCCCACACACCCTCTACCCGTGATACATGACCACAGATAGTAACGGGTGCCTGGTATGTCGGACAGGGTAGTCCCATCCGGCATGGTTCTACGTCTTGGTGCAATTCCCTGGCTACAGCCACGGACAAGACAATGGTGACGATGCTCCTTAGACCTATCTAAAATGCCAGAGGGGATTCCCCCTAGCACCTGACCAAGAGCTCACCCAACAACGACAAGGTCTCGCATCTCCTAGACGAAGGTTTTTTTCATAATATTTTGAAGTAATCATTCGTCACTAAAATTATAAATATATTAATTTTATTATAACTTAATGAACCATGTATCAACAATGCATATACTTATAATAAAATGGCCAGTTTAAATATTGATACTTATTTATCTAAATAGAATGTCAATTCAGCTGCCAGACAAAGTACATTTTCTTAGTACAACCTCAAATAGTACTATTCGTATTCAGCGATAAAATGTACTAATCACATA